GCCGCCTTCGGGCCGGGGCCCCTGGGGAACAGCCGCGCAGAACACCACCCGGGACTGATGCAGTCGCCTCTGGGGCGGGGCCGCGGGGGAACAGCCGCGCAGAACGCCGCCTGGGAGCGACTTACAACTCCCCCAAAACACGGGCACCTGCCTCATAACAGGTCTCATTTATTTCCCATCTTCCCCGCCTAGAAATACCCTCAATTTGCCCCGAGGGGTGGAATCTGCCCCCGGGGAGGGGGCCACATGGATCTCCATGAGATCACAGTTCCTCTGGGGTGACTGGCCGGGGGGGCGCTTGGCCTCCTCTCCCGCTGTAGCTGCCGGATGCCTGGATCCCGTAGCCCTGGGCCGTGGCCGGCCCCCAGGGGCAGCTGTCCTTGCCGTGGGGCAGTCCGCCTGTCCAGGCTAGGCGAGGGGGCGCAGGGGGGCAGGGGGGGGCAGGGTGTCAGGGTGGGAGGCGCGGTGCAGGGACGGCTCCGACATACTTCGCTCCAGCTTGGGCTGCAAGCGTTGTAGCTGCTCCAGGGTGGCCAGGATCTGGGGGGAGAAAGGGAGTGAGACAGGCACCCCCAGAGCCGGGGGGAGGAGCCTGGAGTCCGTCTCCCTGCCCCCCCCCAAAGAACCCAGGTGTGAGACTCCATTCCCTTCCAGAGCGGGGGAGGGGCACTCAGGCATCGGGGCCCCGCCCCCCACTCACCTGCGGGAAGAGGGGTCTCTCCTCTCGGCTGAATTTCAGGCAGTTCACCATGAGTCTCTTCAGGGCCTTGGGGCAGGTGCTGGGCACCCGGCTCAAGTCAGGGGACAGGTACCCCCGGCCCACCATGGACAGGGTCTGGGGGCAAGGGAGCAGGTCAGACTCTGGGCACCCCCCACCTCTCCAAGCCCCCAGTCAGCACCCCCTGCTGGGTGCCGGGGGGGCAGAAGGAGGAGCACTGGGTGACGGGAGGTGGGCGCCGGGTGACGGGAGGTGGGCGCCAGGAGAAGGGCACCGGGAGACGGGAGGTGGGTGCCGGGAGGTGGGTGAGGGGTGACGGGAAGTGGCCTGCGGGT